TCCAACAGAGAAGTGTTGCTTGGTCCCACAAGTACATTACTGCCAAGGTTCCAACTGCCTGGACCTTGACATTTGTGCTTGTTTTTCCCAGTCTTACCTAATGGGCATAGCAGTACTAAGCAAAGAAGAATGCAAAGAACAAGAAAATTCAACGTAATTCAGTCTACATCCATTCACAATGTCTGGATCGATGCCTGCTCAGAACCTGAAGCATTTGAATAGCCTCAAAAGTTTTAACCCCTTTTTATTAAATATGGAAATGTTTTTTCAAGTGTAGAGCATTGTGCCTCTCTTATCAGTAACTAAACACATTGGAAGGTGTTCTTCACATATTCATATCTGTATAGTTACCATTGTGATAAACAGTTATTTTCTACTTTTGTTCTGTTGTAGAGTATGTTAAAACTAGTTACATTCAGTGAGATACTAAGAGTTCTAATTCCTAAATGCTTATGCCAAAATTCTTATTTAAATATTTGAAATTATGTTCAGTTTAAAAGGACCTCAGTGGAAAATCTGAATGTCAATTTGTTTGTTAAGCATAAACTTATTTCTAACTTCTATATGCATAATGAAAGAGATGGAAATATTCTCAGTAATTATGAAAGGTTTGTTTTCCTGATGTTTAGTTGACTATCAATAAATACTTGATTTCATAAAACTTTTATTAAAGGGACACTGCCAGTTGTCAATTTATTACTGATATTGTTTGTCTTATACATTAAAACATACATATAGCCATTGTATAAAACCTAATAATAATGGAGGGTTTAATTTATCTTTTTTATATAAATGAAATCAGTTGCTTGTTTGGAATTAAACAACCCCCTGCACTGTCTGCAATCTAAACCTTGCATCTGTGGGTAAGTCAGATGAAAAAAAAAATTAACTAGAAATAAACATGAAATTGACTAGCCTATTTAATCGTGAGTGAAGTGCCAAAAAGAAAATGTTAATTTTAAAAAGTATTCACTTGTGCTTGAGTAATGAGTGCAGCACTGGGCCAATTTCTAGTAACACAGAGAGAGGGTGGGCTTTTGTTTGTTTGTTTGTTTGAGGGTAGGCCTGATATTGTCCTTTTAAATTTAACATATTGAGCTCCTTCTCCTGTAAGCATTTAAGTATAGACATATCTTTCCTGCTGCCAGCACTTAAGTTAGGCACCAGGCTAATAAGTGTTTGCTGGCTGGGCTTTTTATTAATCATGAGGAGAAAACATATATTAAATATATATATATTCTATTTTAAATTAAGTTACATATATTGAAAAAGGCTCAGAAACATTTCAAGTTGCACAAACGTTTGATTTACATAATAAATATGTGTAAGTAGGTAATATATTGTAATGTGTATACTATATCTATAATACCAGGAGCCTATGTTCCAACTGGTTTTTAACCTAGATCAGATCTCTGAGAGTCTAGGGAGACTGAAGTATTAGCCAGTGTGTTGGGAGGTTATCAGATTTGTTTAAAGCTGCTGCTGACTGTAATTTATATTTAATTTGTAATTTTAAAAAATCGAAAGGGTGTTCAAGGCTCCTATGAGAGCACATCTTATGGTTCAAAGTCAAAATAAATTGGATTTAAATGAACAGAATGGTTAATATGGGGTACATGAAGGGCATTACAGTTTAAAACAACCAAGGGAAAATAAACGATATATTCTTATTTATAAGACTTGAAAAGCCTTCTGTTACACGAACTATTTTAAAATTAGACTGGATAATTAAATTTAATTCAAGATACTTTGGAGAAGGATGCTAAAATTAGATTGTGTGTGATCCTTGGCTATATGCGTAGGTTTGGGATTGAAATTAGTCTGCATTATTCTGAATGCTACAGAGTGAGGGGAGTAGCCGGCTCTACTTTAGTAACAACAAACATCAAGTGGCTGAACATTCCTAAAGAGACAGTTTGTGTAAAGAAATGTTATGCTAAACTCTTTCCAGGTTCTGTAATTAACTTGCTGCATTCAGACTTAGCAACACCTTGCTTGCTGTGGAGAAACAGTGCCTGAAAGAAAGGGGGAGGAGAGTGCGAGGTTGACCAGAGAAATATTTTTGAAATTTAGCAAACGTCTGTCTGTAAATCCAGGAGTGGGTGGATGCCATTAACGTTTCCCAGGGATTAGTGATTATCACTACATCAACTGTAGAATACAGGATTGGCTTGGGAGAAGAAAAGGCGGAAATACGATTTATTTCCAGTATCTCACATCTTGTATTTTCATATACAGTATGAGACATTTAACTTCTATTGCAGGTATTAAGACATTCTTTCCTTCCCCTTTCCGTTCATTGTGCAACATCTATAGCAGGGGCTTTAAACCTTTTTTCATTTGCGGACCCCTAAACATTTTTCAGTGGAGGGGCAGACCCCTTTGGAAATCTTAGCCATAGTCGGCAGACCCTTAGGGGTTGGTGGACCACAGGTTGAAAACGACTGGTCTATAGTAGAGCATGCTTTGTGTCACACACACAAACACAAAAAACATAAATAGACAGGCACTTTCTTCCTAGGGGAGGAAAAGAAGGCATCATTATTTCTATTTCTCCTGTCTTTTTTCCTTTCCCTTCCTCCTTCTCTTTTGATCTATTTTTATAATAGCACTTTCCTGGAATATTGCTGAGATGTGTATCCTAATGCTGGCTATGCCTGAAATTTATTAGCACAAAGTTTGGAGTATGAACTACTTTCAGGACCAAAAAACCCCAACAAAATAATAGATGAGAAGGAATGTTTCTAAAGCCCTTTGAAGATGAAACGGTCCTGAGGATGGTTATTTTAAAATGTCTACTGGAGAAATGCTTCCCAAAGCGACTATAAATAATATTCAAGTCTGAAATGGGCCTCACTGAGTGCTTCATAGCACTTGTTCAAAGCCACTTCCACTTTGCTCCCCAACCTTCCTCTTTCTTGCTGAATATTCATGTCTGCACAAACCACCCATTAGCGCTTGGAAACCCCAGCCCCAGGCGCACTGTGCTTTGGGCTTTAAACTGATCAGCATGTTGCAGTGTGCGTCGGGTACCTGTTTTCCCGAGGTGCTTAGCTCGGAATGCGGGGCTGTCATTCCACATAACCTGGCTGGCTTCTGTCAGCAGTGGAGCCGCTCCCCGCCAGCTGCCTCCCCAAAGCGGAGAGGGGGAAAGGGGCCGTGACCTTAGCTTTGAGCCCGGGCTCCTGGGCACAACACCTAAAACGTGCAGAGCGCCTTGTTTCCACAGGCCCCCGCCCCCTGGCTGGCTCCGGCTGTCAGGAGCGGGGTACACGCTCCCAGCCCCAGGGAGGCGGGAAGAGGGCGGGCAGCTCGCTTCCCATAGGCAGCCCGGCCCCGCAGGGCCAGCCCCCTTGTGCCTGGCCAGGGTGGGGTCGGCTGAAATAGAGGCGGGCATGTGTCAGTAGTAGAGCTACCCCGGGCCAGGTAGAGCGGCGGGAGGCTGCGCTGAAGACAGTGGAGTTGTTGCCGGGCTTGTGGGCTGGGGTGCGAGTGCCAGGGCAGTGATCCCCTAGCCCCAGGCTGGTCCCCGTGCAGTGGCAGCTGGGGGAGGTTGCGTGCCCGCTCCGGAGGGATCCCACTCGGCCATGGCCACTCGGGTGCTGCCCATGAGCGCCCGCCTGGGTCCCATGCAGCAGCCCGACGAGCCGGTGTTCGCTCAGCTCAAGCCCGTGCTGGGCGCCCGGGAGGCGGCGATGTTCACGGGGGAGGATCTGAAGCAGCAGCAGCCGGGCGGCGGGGCCAGGATCCCGGCGGAGGAGATGGTTCAGGTAAGGAAGGAGAAGCCGCTTGGGCTGGTCCCCCTCCTGGCCGTGCCCCTAGACGCTGGGGCCCGGCGCAGCCCGCACGGGCAGCGCTCACTGGGTGGGGCAGTGTCGGGGGAATCAGGGCGGCGCCCGGCAGCGGGGAGCCAGCGCGAGGCGGGGAGCCCCACCTGGGAGGGGGTAGGAGGGAGTGGGGCTGGGGCCCGAAGTCCCCGCTTGTCCCCCTCGCTCCGCCCTGCGTGGGGATGCGGCTGGTCCGCGTCTTCCCGGCTCCGCTGCGCCTCCAAGTGAGCTAGCCGCTCTGCTCCCCCTCCTGCGGGCGAGGACCCAGCCAGGCGCTGCCGCCCTTCGGCCAGGGAGCTACTAGAAATCGAGGGGTGCCCGGATCGGGGCGCCGGGGACTCGAACTTCCCAACCGCTCAAGGCGGATTCGAGCGGGCAGGGGCAGAGCTGCCCCGCGAGAGTGTTGAAAGCTACAGCTGCTGCCTTTGCACTTGCCCAGCAGCAGAATTAGCGCAGCCGCCTGTCTCTCTCGCCCACGCACGGTCATGTTAGACTGGGGTGGGGGGGGGAGACTTGTCGGGACTTTCTGCGTGTCCCAGAAAACTGTTTGGCAACAGATCCACAGGCAAACAGCTGGAAGAGCTAAAATCAGCCAGCGCCAACCGCAACCTGATTTTAGCTCGGGAACGGGCTTCGTTTGAGGCTATTTCCAGCCCTTGACTCTTTCATTGAATAGTTTCGTGTGCGGTTTATTATAGTGAGTAGCCTTGTGTGGCACAGGTGGCATTGTATAAACGGAGCAGACAAGCCTGTGAGATCCTGAGCAGTGTGACAAACCTCTGCAGAGGCACCTTCCAAAGTGTATTTATAAGGGGGGCCCTGCCCTGGGATCTCAGTCGGAGTCACTCAGTCGCTATCTCCAATGTAACTAAGATTAAGGAAGAATTCTCCTCCCGAGAATTGATAAGCAAGGCAATGAATATTAGTGGGACATATTTCAGTCTCTGTGGCTCAGCGATATCTTTTCAAAGAATACATGTTTCTGCCTTCAAAGCAAGCTGGCCTTGGCTTGTAAACAAGGGCTGGAAAAAGTAGCCTGGCACGTTAAGGACAGGTCTAGCTCACTACACACACAAAACGCTTGTCTTTGGTTTTTTGTTTTTTCTTTTTATTTGAGACAGGCTCTTGAAATACACTTTTAAGTAGACTTTCTGCTTGTCAGCTGCTTTCTGTTTTTAGGGGTGCTAAAGGGATTTGGTATGACTGGACTTTTTACAGGGTAAGGGGGAATGTAGCATTTGCCCATTGGAGAGTACATGATAAATGTTTTACTGATGACTGTACCAGTAATGTATCAGGCTTTCGCCACCCACGGATTCCCTACTACCACTGCACTAAGGGACTGATTTCATTGTAGAAATTAAAGATTTTAGAGTGTGACCATGAATAGAAACATGGTTATCACATTCTTAACAAATTATAGACTCTGTAGATTTAAAAACATTGTTACTCCAGTCCAAAGGACTCTTTACATCAAATATATAGTAACTTAAAGTCACGGTCCTGCCTCCTTGTTATTCTATATTGTTTATAAGTTTACACCTGTTTTAGGTTTTATTTCCAGTAGATAACTTTCTTTTACGTTCTAAATCTGTTCTGAAGTATGAATATATATTTGAAATGTTAGCCTTCAAATAGTCAGATGAGGGCATGGTTTTTACAGTTAACAATTCAAAGAGAAGTGTGTGAACTTCCTGTAAAAGAATGTCAATACACTTCTTAGAATAATGGTGAAATAGTAGAGTACAGGAATTGTAGAAATGAATTAGATGATTTTTTGTGTGTGTTGCATTATCCTATTGCAAATATTATGATACACTTCAAAATATTTTTACTCTTGTTCTGCATAAACATTGTTCAGCCGATTTGTTCTTGGAGTTGTTGATTAGCATATCAGTTATAAAAGGCAGGGTTGTTTTACTATGTCTCATTATTCTGACTATTTAAAACTTCCCCTGTGGAAGAGATGGGATTTGTTTAGCTCTTCTAGTAAAAGAGTACTCGTAAGAGATTATTATTATTATTATTATTTATTATTATTTTATTTTCATTGTTGATGTCCTGTCTTGTCTATGGTTTGTTAACAAATCATGTGGATTATATGTTTTTGTTTTTATTTAGACAAGATGTGAAATGGAGAAATATCTGGCACCTCAGCTTCCACCAGTTCCTGTCATCCCTGAACATAAAAAATACAGAAGAGACAGTGCCTCAGTTGTAGACCAGTTCTTCACTGACAGTGAAGGGTTGCCTTATAGTATCAACATGAATGTCTTCTTTCCTGACATTACTCACCTGAGAACTGGTCTATACAAATCCCAGAGACCATGTGTAACCCACATCAAGACAGAACCAGTTACCATCTTCAGTCATCAGAGTGAAACTACTGCCCCTTCCCCCACCCCCACTCAGGCTCTCCCAGAGTTTACCAGCATCTTCAGCTCTCACCAAACTCCCGACGTGAACAACATTTTCATCAAGCAGGAGCTTCCTACTCCAGATATTCATCTTTCTCTCACACCCCAGCAGGGCCAGTTATATCAGCTCTTGAGTTCACCGGATTTAGATATGCCCAATTCTACTACTCAGGCGGCAGTAATGGACTCTCTTAACAATGTTTCCATGTCATCAGCCATGGCAGGCCTTAACACTCTCTCCTCGGCTATTCCACAGACTACAATGAAACAATTCCAGGGTATCCCCCAATGCACATACACAATGCCAAATCAGTTTCTTCAACCACAGGCCACTTACTTCCCTCCTTCACCCCCAAGTTCAGAGCCCGGAAGTCCCGATAGACAAGCAGAAATGCTACAAAATTTAACCCCTCCTCCATCCTATGCTGCGACTATAGCTTCCAAGCTGGCAATCCAAAATCCAAATTTACCGGTGGCCATGCCAATAAATTCACAGAACATCCAGACAGTCAGATACAATAGAAGGAGTAACCCAGACCTGGAGAAGAGACGTATCCACTACTGTGATTATCCTGGTAAGCAATCTATCCTAATGGAGAATAAATCACCCAAATGTTTTCTTTAATCTTGCAAAAAAGCAGACATTGATGATCACAATACGGGTGGAAATGACTGTCTTTGATGATGGTCCAGCTACAATGAGACCCAAATCAACTTTTCTTCTTCTCCAAAGCCTTATTGTTCTGTGCCATCTTTTCTTACAATTTTTAAATAATTGTCACCCACTTTTCTGGAAGATAATACATCAGTTCTTACTGTTTTTAAATACATATATGTGGATCCCTGTATCACAAAACTTATAGCTCTGGGGAAAAAAATGTTACTGGGAAGGCTAACATTGAACAATTTTGATATCTGGCTCATGCTTTGTTGTAGCAAACTTCTTCAACGTGCAATGGGCCAGATGCTCAACAGGTGTAAATTGGCATATTGAAGTCCATTGACATGGACATAGGGCCATATCCTTTGTCCAGCTTACAGTAGTTATCTTCTTGATATGAACAGAAAATTCAGTGTGTACACTTGTTCCTCGGTTGTCAACTATAGTTGTCTTTAAAAATTGTCCAACCTCCCCGCAAAACCCCAAATATGTATGGGACCCCTCCTGAAGTCCATCCATTTTGTATGCTAGACTAAAAGATGAATCTAGCAGCAAATGTTAATAATTCATTAATGAAATATGTGATCCCAAATATAAAATGTCAACACTCAGCTGAATAGAAACTAGTTTCCTCTCAAATATAATACAGGGTATAGTATCTTGAATGTAGTAAATGTTATAATACAACAAATGCTGAATTAAAAAAAAATTCAGTGTAGAACTATGGTAAATAACAGTGATATTGAGTAATACCCTGGAAAGATCAGACACAGAGTCCTTTAGGAACATTTAAAAAATAAAGTTCATCAGTGACATTCATATATCATTGAGTAACAGGTGTGGCTTCTTCATGTAGCAGATGTAATTTAAATGTGAACTCTCAGTTGTATTTAGATTGTAGCAGCTATCCTTTTGTATAACATCATAAGTAATTAAGGATACCAGAATCTTAAGTATTGCTTTTTCTCTTGATTATGTAAAGCAACCCCTTCCTAAGAACTTTCTGTAGTAAATCATGTGAAACTTCAAATGATTGTGCTGCCACAAGGTAGTAAGTTTTTAAATGTTTTCAGAATAGTGTGAGTGAGTGACTTATAAACAAACCTAGAGCATTACAATCTCCCTGCTGATGTGCTTTCTCTTTTTCCCCCCCACTGTTTTTTTTTTTTTTTAGGCTGCACAAAAGTTTATACAAAGTCTTCCCACTTAAAAGCTCACCTGAGAACTCATACTGGTATGTACTTTCCTTGTTCATTCCTTGGTTATGAATCTTTTAAAAAAGCAAGCATGTTTGAATTGTCATATTTTCTTTCTTTGATTTTGCAGAATGGGCTAGGTTCAAGTAGATCAGTGTCTGTCAAACTTTTTTACTGGCGGCCCCTTTCACATACTGTGACCCCTCTTATAAATTAAAAACACTTTTAAATATATTTAACACCATTATAAATGCTGGAGGCAAAGCAGGGTTTGGGGTGGAGGTTGACTGCTCATGACCCCCCATGTAATAACCTCGCAACCCCCTGAGGGGTCCCAACCCCCAGTTTGAGAACCCCTGAAGTAGATAGTTCAGTTAAATCAACCAACCAACTTTGTCAATAAAAGTTGAAGTTACCCATTTATTTTTAAGACATTTTTGTTTAGTTATTTTGAATTCCTTATAGTAAATTTTTTTTAAGAACTGAAAACAAGCAAAATATTCCCTTTGAAACCCTCAATTTTTCTCTAAAATGCTTTTTTTAAAGGAAAAATTATTTTGATGGGGGGGGGGGAGAAATCCAACATGTCTTGAATTAAGCACAATAAATATATGATTATTTCTGTTTATTTAATTAAACAAACTCTCATTTCTTTTGGCTTTAGTACTTTAAATACTAGTGCTGACAGAACTATTTAGATTTTTCTCCTCAGATTTCTGTATAGCTCCAAAACTCTTCTCCATTTGCTCTTTCTCCAGCATTAAACTTGCATGTTTAAAAACCAAATACTTTCTTTTTAAAAAATCTATCTCATTTTTATTTCCTGGTGAAGAGAGTTACTAAAATGGTAAGAAAATTAAAAACAGTGTTGAGGTGTGAAACCTATATATTCGTACCATAGACCAAATCCTGTCTGAAGCTACATGCATGCAATCTCAGTTAATGGACCTGCATAGGTATAAATTGAAGAGTGAATTTTGGTTCACTGACTCCAGTGTGAGCTAAGGGTTCTCTTCTCTACTTGACATGCATGGGTGTTACAAACACATATTGGAAAGAGAGTGGAACCATTCTGTCCAGACCATAGCTCAGTTTAGATACATGTTTGTTAAATTAGGTGTACGACATCACAAGAGAACTGTTTTAACAGTTCAGGATAATTCTTGTGCAGGGGACTTGGTTACAAAATTGTTTTTGCAGTTTAGCTGAACCTTTGAAATGAAAATTGTGAGGTTTTTCAAAGAAACCTAGGCTAAGAAGCCACTATCTTCTTTAAATCTAGTTGCGGTATCTGTACTCCAATATAAAATACTTACACATGGGTGTGTGATCCTCAAATCAGAGTAACTTATGGTTCTACTTAAAGCAAAATGCTTACTGTAGTAGGCCTGTCAACATTAAATTTGTACTGTGTGAATAACATGGTTTCATCTTAGTTTAAAAGCAAAAGTCAAAACGAAACTTAACATGAGCAATGATCTAACACAATGTATTTCCTCTCTATGGAAAAAGACCTTGTATTCAACAGTTACTATGAGTGGATTGTTGGATTACTGTAAAGAAACTGAATATCTCCAGGCTAAATGTTACTATGGAAATCCAGTTTTCATAAATGAAGCAGTTATCTGTATTACAGCCACAGTAAAAATGAAAAGCAACTTTGCAAAGGTCAGTGCTCTCCACTAGCAATAGACTAAACAAGAATATTGTTACAAACATTTTGTGATACATATAATCACTCATTACCAGCTAGCTCAATGAGAGAGTAATTTAATTTTTAATGAGGATGTAAACTTGACTAATATAATAGAATGCAACATTCATCTTACTTTACAGATTATTTAGTAAGGAAAGAGTGGGTGCCACTGCCCTATTACATTTAAACCAACTTTAGATTGAAAATATGTAACTTGTTGTTATACAGTGACTGTAGGAACAGACCAAAAGATAAAGCTTAAAATGTAATTTTATCAAGTAATTGTAAAAATGAAAATCACTCTTAAAATTTTCAGAAGTATGTGTAATTATTTTCATATCTTCAAATAGTACTGATAATTTTAGAATTCTTAATAAACATATTAATGTACATATAGAGAAATATTTACCAAAGTTGTGATCACTAGTACCTATTGCTATGGATGAGTAAAGGTTAATGTTGCTTTCCACTTTTTTTTACCTGTAGACATTTGACCTCAGCAGTGTGGCTAAGTGTACAAAGGTCAGGGAAGCTGATCTATTCATAGAAACAAGAATGCTGCTTCAGATAAAATCTCTAGTGAATTTAAGTAAGCCTTTAATACAAAGGGTCTTCTAGGGAGGGGAATGAAGGGATAAATTGTCCAAAGCGTTAAAATACAAACATGTTAGTCCATTTCCTGTTACCTACCTTTTACTGTAGAGTATGAATAAGTCTGACACTTTCTCAATATCCATTTGAAAACCCAAGGTTTTTAAATTAAACCATCCTTGTGTGCAAAGGGTCTGAACACAAGCACACCATTTGATATTTCCAGTGCTGTATAAATGAATGAACTGAAAGATTAAGGGCTAAATTCTGCCTTGGTAAAAGTGGGCGTAACCTCAGGGAACTCCATGGAGTTATACTAGGTGCCCAATTCTCCCAGAAGTCAATGGGAATTTTCCCTTTGACTTCAAAAGGGAAGTATCAGCCCCGTTGGGCTAAATTTGGCTATGCATATGACTTTGCATTTGTCTGTATAAATTCCACCCTTACTTTGTGCGCCCCCTTAAACCAACTGGATTTATGCAGCGCTATTAAACTTTTCTCTTTTAATCTTAAAAATACCTGTACTTTTATGGAGTAATTACGTTCAAAGTTTAAATTTAATAGGTGAGTCTCACCTAATCCAGTTTAATAAAGTTTTGTGTGATATTCTTTCAAATCCCTTAGGGGTGTAGCAGGCCTGTTTATCTGGCTAAACCCGTTCTTTAGTAATCATGGACCACTGAAGTTGTTTTCTCTTTATTCTTAGTTTCTTGACAATACCTTTTAAATTGGCTGCAATCTCTCTCTTCCCAAACAGCCTCCACCCTCTTCAGCAATCTGTCATTTTAAAATCAAAAGTGCCTGCAGCAAAGTTTGTCTGCCATTAAAAGTCAAAACAGACCTTATGCTTTTCCTTTGTATTGGAAAATCTCAGCCTTTCACAGTATTTATTTAGGAGTCTCTCCCTCCTGAATGGCTTTCAATGAGTTTAATAGACATTCTTTGAGAACAAACTTAAGAGAAATGTTATTTCTGAAAGACGGAATGTGAGCCATACTCTGTTTCCTCATTCAAATATGAACTAATTGGCAGGTTCATAAGTCACATTTAAATGAGGTCATAAGAAATGGCTGAGAGTTGAAAGTTTTCCCCCTTATATTTTTCTTCTTAAAAAAGGGTAGGTCAAATCCAGCCCTGATTTAAGAAGGTAAAGCTCCCTTCATTTTATTGGAGTTGTTCCAGGGACCTGTTTTTTTCATTTAAACAAAAAAACTTTAATCCTTTAGGTGAAAATTGTATTCCAAAATCAAGTTACTGTGTGTGTTGTAGTTCCTGAAATAGGTATTTCTCTAAAGCTAGTTATTTCAGTTGTTTTAAAATTATGGAGGGAATTCTAACTGGTGATAAGCTGGTAGCCTCAAAATTGAACACAGGCAAACAGCTGCTGTTGCCAAGTTACAAAGGTACAGAATGTATTTTTGTATCCTTCTCTGAATGATTTTGGATCAGGTGTCAAGTTCTCTTAGGTAACGTCTTAAAAGCACTACAGTGCATTATTTTACTAGCATGGATTAGCATTTGATCCTCCATCTTTAGCTGATTAAAATGAGTATGTGCTAGTGTACGTGTAGGAGCATCTTTCAATATAGATGGGTTTCTTCAACCTCTTTATATTAGGGATTTTTCTTCTAAAATACATTGACCTATTGGTCATAGGACAAGTTTAGTTTCATAACTTGTATTGTGCAACCAGCATATAATGTGTTTAAAATAAACAAAAAAACCCGCATCTATTCTAGGCTACACTCTAGTAAAATTAGTTGTTCATGCTAGTGCCTTAATGTATGTGCCCAACTTGAAAAACTTGTCAAATGTCAAAGAAAAGCAGATAATTGTGCATTATAAATACACCCTATTAACTTTCTTTCACGTTGCTTGAACATACTTCAACAGCTCCCCCATTAACAACTCTACCATGTTTCCCCACCCTCATTTTTTTTCCCCTTCCTTTTTCTCCCCTCTCCCCCCGGTTGTACTGATACGCTTATCTTTTTAAACACTGAGGTCTGAGTTCTCACCTGTAACAGTGCACTACAGTTGTAGACTCCAGTGCTTCATTTCTGTGAGCAGCTGCATGTTTCAGAGATGTATTCTCTTCTATTTAGAGGAAACGCCATCATTGTTTTGTACACATCAGGGTACACACACCGAGGATGTTTTTTCAGATGCATATTGGTTTTCTGTACACTGTCTTTGTACAAGCATGTTCTCTGATCACATGATGGGTTTGCCATTAATAGAGAGATGAAATAGTTTCTAACATTAACTGCAAAACTATCTATAGATGTAGCTTGTATGTGGTGATGGGAAGTGAAAGCCTAGATACCTCAAGAGAAATGGCATTCCTTAAATGAGATCAAGTCAAAATACTTCAACATCCTTAGTTATGTCAAATGTTTATATAGGCTTGGGACAACTGTTAACTTATTCAATGCCTCAAGATGCTAAACTTGCTTTTAATATATGGCTTCATGTCAGTAGATCCAAAATTGGACTGTGATGGTCAGTCATAGTCAGAACCAGTGGTGGACAACAGGCTTTGAGCAGCCCATAGGAATCTATATCTTCCATTTACCAGAGCTATCCATGTCTGTGTATATTTGACTTGGTACTGTTTATAAAAACACAAATGGTGCTGTTGAACTGTGGGGAAATCGTGGAGGTGTACATTGTCAAAAGTGTGTGTATGTGAGAGAGACACAGTCACTTGTTAATATTTTGATATTAATTTCAAATATTACTTTTGAGTCT